CACACACACACACACACACACACACACACACTCCAAAGTGAGGATCACTGTCCAGGAATAGAGCTGACATCTAGTAGGAAAACCCCCGTCTATGTCATTCTCTATCGGGAGGGCGAAAAACCAAAAGCTACCACACTCCAGACAAGACTTTAATAGGCCTGGGCCAGGAGTAGCCCTCTGCGAGATGTCTGCATCAGAATGCCATTTTTTACATCAAAATTGTTGGTCTCAAGGGAAGGAGGGGGAGATATTTTTGTTTGTTTGAGTAAGGAGAAGCACATCAACACAACAATGGTCACTTGGTGCTGGGGAAAAGTTAGACAGATGGAAACAAAAGAGAGAGAAAAGTACAGAAATAAGACCTACCAGTGACGCCCTCTAACCACCCGCGGACGGGGAGAAAAGAAAAGGGACATGGTTTGTTCCAGTAATTTGTTTTTGTTTTTGTAGAGGTTTTACGGCGCTCGCGACTGCATAAGGTCATATGAGCGCCAAGGGGTGTATATCAACAGAGAAGTCCTTACAGGGAATCGAGCTTTGCTCACCTCTCTAGCTTCAACAGCATAAAGTCTACTTCGGCTATCAAGGCACCCCGGAAATAGCGGGTCACAAGAAAGTGACAAACATACAAAACAAGTAGAGGGAAATGACGAGAGTACGTTTGTTGAGTAAAGACAAGCACATCGACACAATAATGTTCATTCAGTGCTGGGAAAACGTAAGTCCGACCAACAGAAACAACAGGGAGAAAGTAAAGAAGTTGGACCTACACCAATGGCGCCCTTCAACCACATGCAGGTGAACATGGCAATAGCCGGTGTGGTTGTTTAAGTAGTGAGGTTATGAAACAGGGAGAAAGAATGAGATTTCGTACCATATTGCACAACATTTTAAAAAATATATAAGCAGATAACTACCAAAAGACGATATGGTGTCATCAAACTGACCCGTACTAGTTTAGAATACACACCAAAATGTCCGTGGATTCCTATCGATTAATTCAAAACAATTTACAGGTTGAAATGTAGAAAAAGGTTGCTCCGATCGATCAAACAATAAATAAAATAGAAACTAAAGACTGGCTCTTTTTTTTACATTTTTATGCAAGTGTTTTACGGCACTTGCAACACAATAAGGTCATATAAGTGCCGAAGATTAGAGGTGTTACAAGTGAGCAACAAACACAAAAAAGGAGGAGGGGAGATAAAGACGATAGACGTTTGATAGGAAAGAAGAAGCAGAAGCAAACCACACTAGAGAACCCGCCACCCACCCACAAAGAATGGCTCTACCACGGCTTAGATTTAGCTTTCCCTGCAAGTCACTACCCTTGCAATACGTGTGTCACGGGAGTTTCACCAAGTAAAGGCAGGAGAAGACGGCAATCTAAATAACAGGCATAGACATAGATAAACAATAGTCTAAATTACATCATCAGTGTTGGTAAGGCTTTTCTCCGATACACGCAAAAGACGTGAGTTGGTTTGCTATTTGGGAAATTTAATTTTAGCGAATATCTCCGTCTTTTTGCTGAGATGGCCAGGACAATCAAAACTGAAGCAACTTGCTAAGCTCTATTTCAGTAAGAGAGGTTGGTTTTTGCTTTGTTTTGTTTGTTTGTTTGGTTTTTTAGTTTTCGTTAGAGTTTTACGACACTTGCAACACAATTAGGTCATATCAGTGCCGAAGATAAGCGGTGTTACAGGAGACAGAAGAGTAACACATAAAGACAAGAAGGGGGAGAGATAACAACAACAGGGATGTTTGATAGGAAATAAGGGGCAACCCAGACCACAGCGCCCGCCAACCACCCACTTACATATTCCTCGAAGCAAGCCAAACTGTTCCATAGCAGAAAAGGGCCACGTTTCACAAGAGAAAATCCAGCAGCAATGAGTCTGAGCAGAGACCACGTCGTCAAGGATCTAGGACGACCACGTTGTTTGGTGAGCTGTCCACTCCATCCAGTCACGACAGCTGTTTGGCCTTGTCTGTCTTCAGTCTTCCTTTTTTTCTTTCTATCTTTTTTTTCTGGCTTTTTTTTTTCTTTTTTTCCGTCCTGTTTTGTTTTGTTTTGTTCCGTTGTCTGCGTCTGCGCGGGCCGACACCGAGCAAGCGTAATAAAGCAGTCCGGGCCTGGGAGCGGCCTCGAGTGGCCGTTGAACCAAAGTGTAAACCCGAGCATTAAGCCCTTGGCAGTTCTCGTGGTCTTCACAATAAATTTAAGCCCGTGTTTGGAGGAGGTGGGGGG